CTCCCAACATTAGAATGAACATTTCATCTCCGTTCATATTCCCCAGTAACAATGGCACGTGCCAAAGTTAAAACACAGCTGCCTTCTTAAATCACAAGTGAATTAAAGCACCACTGGCAGCCTCTTATCATAAGGCACAGTAGCACGTTATTCGTCTGAGTGCCAGCCGTGTACGTACACAACACGAAGATAAAGGAGAGAGTTGGCACAATGGACGTGATTAGAATTTCCTCCCCTCGAGCGACTGACGAGCCTTTTATGTTCCGTCATGCGAGGACAGGAGTCAAGTTTTTATCTCATTAGCTGACCGTGTTCCCAATTGTTTCTGCAGCGGTTGCTAATGCAATCATATTTGTGGGATCTTGCGTCTGTGATTTCACTCAATGCAGGGAAGCCCCCCGGGAAGACTTGTGTAGAGAAATGTCTCGTTTTCATCAAGCAAATAGAGACAGATGGAATCTGGAGAGGAAGCAAATGTGTTGCTCCAAAGAGAGAGAGAAAGGCCAGAGCCGGGAGGAGGGGTGAGGGGTGAGGAGTGAGGGGGGGGCGGTTAAATACCATGTTGAAGAAAGGAGCAGAGTTGGTCATTCACTATATCACTTTTGATTTATCCGTCACACTCTCGGTCACTCGGCTGCCTTCGTGTTTCAACATCAGCAGCCGAGGCAGTTAACTAAGTCAGTGAAGCAATTAATGTAGTAAGTGCAGCTTAAGTGAGTAGAGACACTTACCTCAGGACCTCAGGACGGCGGGCAAAACAAACACTGCTGCTTTATGAAACCCAGGAAACTGTGTGGAATGAGGAGCATCGTGGGTAATGTAGAAGAATCACAGCACATTATGGCTAGTATAATGATGCTATTATCCTGTTAAATAATATTATTTGATGTTGTACTGTTATACTAGCCAATGTTCCAAAAATACAGTTTTTCTTTTTCTTTTAATTTTATAACATTGCAAACATACATTTGTAACTTGTCTTTACAGAATGGTAATTTAATTGTAACTTGTCTTTACAGAATGGTAATTCAATTGTGTTAAGCTAAAGATTTTTTTTTTCTTTTTTTCAACATTTCACATCCTGTTTTACAGCAGTCAGAGACGGCACGTCAAGTCAGTGCGAAGTCCCAAGAGAACCACGCTTTCCAGAATGTCCCGGAAAAGTAGATGTAAGTGTATACGTGTGTGTGTGTGTGTGTGTAATAACATGTCCTCACAAAGTGGTATTGAACGTCTAATTTCTGAAGGGTCTTAAGGTTTATGTTTCCATGTTTCTCACCCAGTGGATGCGTGCACGTTGGACCTCCGACCCCTGCTATGCCTTCTACGGTGTGGACGGTTCAGACTGTTCCTTTCTGATCTACCTGAGTGAGGTGGAGTGGTTCTGTCCCCCGTTGGTCTGGAGGAACCACAGCAGTCCCCCCACACAACACACACACCAGGCAAAGGCTCCAAAGAGACAGGTGAGGAGGGGACACACACATATAACAAACTCAGATGTCACCAACAACCACAGATCATGGTGGAATTCTTTGGCTGTGAATGAATGTTGAACAGGTTCAGGTAATGTTGCCAGAACTGCTTCAGAATTTAAATACTGTTTACTTTTACTGTACCCTAAACAGGTGGTCCCTGAACATTTTTGTACCAAGGACTGGTTTAAATTAAATGAAGAAAGTGAATGGAATGGACAGGACTTTAATAAAGTCAATTATTAATTCTTTCTCTGTGTCCTGGTGTCCAGTGACCCACGGACCACGGGTTTGGGACATCTGCCCTACAAAAGTGCTTCACTCACTGCCTATCTCTGCTGAAGTTGACTTCATTTTGATAATGGTGACATAGCAATGAACTGAAGTGACTTAGCTGTGATTTAACAGCAGCTCCTATCAAGACTATTGTCTATTTTTTAAAATACCATCCATGTTGCTGGCCCTGCTCTCACAAACAAAGAGGAACACACTCCCAACATTCCTCTCTGTATGTACATGTCTTTGAGAAGTACAGTCACTTCCTATGGCCTGTGTCATTCATCGGTGTGTGTGTGTGTGTGCAGTATGTGTGTGTGTAATCCTTGTAATTAGAAATCCTAGCAGAAGATAAATGGTTTCTGAGAAATGTCATCGAGGCTGTTTGTACAGTTCAGACGATGAACTGTTCATGATTTCTGTTCCCAGTCAGGGGTGATCAATAAAGTCCTATGTGGCAGAAAAGCAGTGCAAATCCGCGAGAGCTCATTCAGGCAGCAGACCTGAGCTAAATCCCTTCCCTCCACAATCTCCTTACCCTCACCCACTCCTTACATTTAAGTGCTCTATTTAACCTACTAATATTTCCTTGTGACTCCTTTAGTGCAAAAAAGCCTCTGCTGCCTATGGTTTCTACCTGCTGCTTCAGCCAACACAGCTGTCAAACACACCCTCCTTCCTCTCCCTTCCTCTCCCTCTCCCCCCAGAACCGGTGGTTTTAAATCATATTTTCTATGAGATGTGAAAGTGGAGAAGAATTCCAAATCTACAGTCCAGGCTTTTGTATGTTTTGTGCCTGCAGTAAACACTTCAGACGTGAGATGTGCGACAGAAATGTGTTTTCCGTGTTACATTTTTCATGTACTCCAAAGAAAAACTGTTTTTTTTTTTTTTTCTTCCACTCCTGCTTCTAACCTTTTCAGCAAACAAAAATGTTTGATTTGTTTAATGCCGCACTCGAGTTTGAAACGACACGCCGAAAAGGTTTTGCTCACATTTTCCTAGTAATCACTTCAGAGATGCACCGATGACACAGCTGTCTTCATATAAATGGAAACAACTCTGAGACGAAGCACTTCAAACATTTTGAAGGTTTTTTTATGGTATATTATCGCTGATAAAAAAAAAAAAAGCTTTGAAAATAAATAAAACTTCCAAACCTTTGGTGTTATTCGTCTCAAGGCAATTTCTCTCAACATTATAAGTTGACAGTTTATAAGTTAAAAATCGGAAACTATTTTTTTTTTACCACATAAGATAAATTGTTCCTTTTATTATTCACTCTGGTAAAGCATTAGCTTACAAAAGGTGAACACTGGAGAAGAAGAAAATGTTTTGTCAGCGACTTCTTTACTTAATGATGATATTCTCACGTCCTCGTCCCTGAAACTGCCGTCAGCACAACGATAGTCTTCAACCCCGCTGACAGATAACATTTACCTTCAGCTCAAACTCTTCACTCTCATTGTCAGCTGTAAGTTGAACCAGGTCACATGACCATTAGCTTCTGCTTCACACTGAGGTCAGGAGGAGTTTTTAACCATTAAAATGCAGTGGTGGCTGTGACGTCAACCACCGTGTTCGTCACATGAGTTAAATGATCAGTGAAACTCTACATGATGTTCTATATAACATACAGTAACATTTATTATTATCAAGGATTGATGATCAAAGTACTGCATGTCAAATGTCGACTACATCACCAACTTTAACCACATTGTACACATTGTTACTACTTCTTGCCCTAACCGCTCCTTTTTTTTCCCAGGCTGCTTTCCGCACAGACCTCTCCGTTCTTCTGGATCAGATTGGTACCGGGAAGGAATCTCTCAGTTTCATGAAGCGCCGAATCCGCCGACTTTCCCAGCAGTGGGCGTTGGCCGCCTATCACCTGGATGCCAAGCTGGAATCGAGATGGAGGGACCAGAAGAAGGTGAGGCTGAAGTTGGATGAGGAGAAAGTTCTCACTCACAATTTTGAATATTCACATTTGTACTCCACCAATAGAAAATACTAATAACATACTAATGCTACTGGGAAATGGTGAGAATGACAACATTTCAAACAGTTTGGATTGGTTTGGATGGATGCAATAATGGTTGAATGTATGGACTTATGGTTGGTTGTTAGATGATGCAAGGCTTGATGGATGGATTCATAGATGAACGGATGGATGGATGGGTTCATGGATGGTTGATGCATCTATGATGGTGGGATGAGTGCTTGGACGATGGACGTTTAGATTGTTAGGTTGATGCAGGCATCCATCAACACATGGATGAATACCTGGTTAGATTGATAGATTGTGGATGAATGGCTGGGTGAGTGGGTAGATCGGTGGGTGGTTGGTTCCGAATGATAGATGTAAAAAATGCATAACTGCGTGGATGGTGAAAAAGTAAAGAAAAGTAAACGTATTGGCCAAAAGAAAAGGTGAGTCACTAAAGTAAAGTTGAGATAACTTCGGAGTAAGACTGACTCATGGTACCTGGAGTTACTGGCCTTATTTCAAACTTACTTTTAAAGTTGGTGAAAAAAGTGTCATAGACGTCAATCTCTGTCAAACGTCACCCAGCAGCATGTAATTAAAATTCCAAAAGTTGTGCCGTTTTTTTCATTACGTCTTATAGAAGGTACATTTGGCCATGATATAAATGTACTTTTATCCTATATTTATATATTTTACAAAAGAAAAATGTTGATGTCAGGAACTAATGACTGATGAGTTAATGTCAGAAGGCAGATTGAGCACACAGTCCCAAAATATATCCCTCTCCACCCATCTCCTTCTAAAGTACGTTAACAAGTGTGGAAAATAGTCGTCCCTCGCTGTGATTGATGTCCTCCTTGTTGTAGAGCGCGGAGGGGATTTGTTATCCTTCATCGTGTTGCTGTGGCTGCTTGAACAGCATCTATGCCTCACAACGCTGCTATCTCAACAACAGATGTCCTGGTGTTTAAGAGTTAGCCTTGGCTGTCAAAAGCTGTTTATCCCGTAATTAGCAATGCAAGTTGGCGTGCGTGTGTGTGTGTGTGCGAATGCTAATTAGTCATCTTTGAAATAAAAGCCAAGAGCAGAACCTCATGGATTTGATTGGAATGTTAAAATCAGCATCCATACAGTCATTTGCATTTTTTGAGTCATCCTAAACTTTAATATAAGCTCACATTTTTAACCGAGCCTGAACGGCCTGGGGAATTTCTTCTTGTGGGATTCGTCCTCGGCCCCGTGCTTACACTTACCTAACCTCTGCCTTCGGCAAACTTTTTCATTTCCATTAGAAAATAGATTGTTCTGCTTGAGTAAGAGGTTTAGGAATTCCAGCGAGGCTCCGTTGGTTCATTTCTGTTTTTCTGTTCAGCTCCTTCTGTTTAAACAGTAAAGAACATTAAATGTTACCTTAAAAAACAAACACTTCAGTTCAGGACAGATGGCAGTATTTAAAGAGAGGTGAGGCTTTTGGCTTGTAGCAGCAGACTCAGTGCACAAGTGTATATGTGTGTGTGTCCTCACCAAATGTTTCAGACACACACACACACAGACACCTTTCTGAAGTGTTAATGAAGTGAGTCTTTCTAAACTTTGCTCTTCTCACTTTCTAATCTGATTAAAATCACTCGTCACATTAAGTTACCTTCGTTCACTGATTTCTATGACATTATCAGTTTTTTGGTAGGACAGATACATAAAATCCATAGGAATGTCCCATTTTATTTTTTTGCCAATATCCGATCTTCCGATATTGTCTAGAAAGTTAATTTCCAATTCCGATATCAACCGATACCGATATACGCAGATGTTTGGGTTAAGTGAGCTAATATCGGCCAATAATATCGGTTGTCTGATATTATCAGACAACCCTAAAAATATATATATTTTAATATTCAGTGTCATTATTATATATCAAATCAAATGAATTGCAGCAGAGGAGGTCCAGTTAAGTTCAGCCATTCAGCTGAGTCATGTGATCACGGCGTGACAGCAGTGCAGACTTGGACTCAGTGGCCTCATACTGTTAACCTTAAACAAGTGTCTAAGCAAAAAAAAAAAAGAACCTCTTCGCCCCCGTGTCTGCCTAGCACACACTGAGTGTGCACTTTTAGTGGGTTGTCAGCAAATGAGAGTTAATTGACCTTTGACTGATGAAGTGTCGATAGCTGAGGGGGCTAATGGGATATGAAAAGTGAAGTGAGAAAACTGTCAAGTGTGAGAGTAAAAAAGAAGAGAGACGTCGAGCGTGAGGAGTAAAAAATACGGCAAAAAACACTGGAGGAGGATTGGAGTGAGGTGACCCGAGGGAGAGAGAACGCCAGCTTGTGATGCCACCCATGGACATAATGAAACAGAGGTGACCTTCGCAAAGGCTAGAGTGTCTGAGTGAATCAGGTCACAGACATTTTCAAGTGTGAGACAAAGTCATGCGCTCGCAGATGCTGAAAGAATTATTAGCCTTCTCCTGTTGTTAGCCTAATGACGAGGACGGCAGAGGAGCAGAAGGGATGGAAAAAACCATCTCTCTCCACGTACTGTGGGCTTTTTTAGCTGATAATGTTGTTTCTATCTATGTGTTTGAGTTCATGCCAGTTTACAAATTAGTAAGACATTATTTGAAAGGGGGGGGTTACATGGTGGGAGAGGAGAGGAGGGGGAGAGTGGTTACTGCGCTCCTGCCTTACATCATTAACTTCATTTGTTTTCCAGGTTTTGTGGTTTTTGTCCAAATCCGAACACATGCAGATTGGAAACTGACTTAATTAAACACTTTTAATTAACCTTTGATGAGAATGTACACTGAATTGGAGATGTAAGTATCTCATCCTTGCCTCACGACTGATAAATTCAAGCAACTCTGTGTGAAGCAGTGGAAGATGATTGAATATATTTAGTTTTACATTTGTAGAAAAGCAATCACACTGGTCAGTGTAAGTGATGTAATCGGTAAAACGGTTTAAACCTCTGTGATCCAGCAGGTCTGGATCCTGATGCTTAAACTTAATCCTGCCTTTGGATCAGAGTAGAGAAAGAGATTTTTGGCTCTTTCGAGCGATATGTTTTTGGCACATAATCCTGCCTTTGGATCAGAGTAGAGACCGAGATTTTTGGCTCTTTCGAGCGTCTTCTCATTGGAGCTGAGTATTTCTGCCCCTAAATGCCTGCTTGTATTCTTTGTCCCATAATTCATTGTTTCCCAAAGACTGGGTTGCAGCCCTCAGGTGGGTCAGAAGAGGGTTTTTTTTTTTTTGGGGGGGGGGGGTCATTTCACATCATGTTTCCCAGGAGTTTACGAATGATGTCTATTGACTTGGGTCGCGAAGGTTTGTGACTTTGAAATTAAAATTAAATATATATATATATATACCTTACTGTAATTGTACTGTATGTGCTGCAGACACACACATTATAGGCTTAAAGAATCAAGACATGGTTTCTCCTTTCTGATGAAAAAGAAGAACTCTTTAAAACTGTCTGAACATTTCAAGTCCTTTCTGTCTGTAACTCTTGCCCCTCCTGTAGAACGGGTGAAATTGTTCATTTTAAAGAGGCGGCTTGTTCACTAGTCATCGACAGCAAATGAACACATTCCAGTCGGTGCAGATACAGCGTGTGAGAAGAGATCCTTCCGTAAAGAAACATATTCTTTTCAACTTCCTCCAGTGTCTCTCAGGGAGGCAGCCGGCCATGATTTGACTGAAGCTTCTCCGTCCGTGGTGGAGTTTCTGTTGCTCACTTTCCACGATTTGGCCTCTCCCGTTCTTCATTTACAAGTTAGACGAGGAGTGAAAATTCATAACAGAGTGAGAGCGCTTACCGATGATCTGCAGGGAACGACGCAGTGCCAACCACCCACACGTGTTCTCTTTGCTCTACAGTCAAGCTATTGATTCCTACTGCTTCTGATGTGAAGGTTATTTCTCCAGTGTGATTCTGATGTGATAAATTGAACGCAATTTGAATTTTCTTCCATACAGATGTTTTGGAAATTATTTTCTCGGGTTACGGAGAAACACGTCGCTCCTCTGGTTTTCAATGATGGTTTTTGTCAAGCAGCTTCGTTCTGCATGTATTTCAGTTTTGCTGCCTCGCTTCCATATTTGAATCGAGAAATGGAGAATTTGTCTGAAAACACTCAAATGCAAGTTGTACTCCGCTGTGGCTTATACTCACACAGGACATATAGAGTATATACTGTAAAGCAGGGGTCACCAACGTGGTGTCCAGGGAGTATAAATATATATACACATGTATGTGTGCATATTGGGGGCGTGCCCTCTAAGGGACCTCACGATTCAATTTTGATTCAGGGTACAGTACAAAAACATTTGGTGGAATGAATTCCACATTTGCTCTAAAACAGATGACATCAGGTGCCTTTAGAAATAAATAAGACTTCTTTTGACCAAAATCCGTGGTGGTTTTTCACATTTCTGCTCTTGACTAAATTCATCTCCTTCTGTCTCCATTCCTGCGTGGTTTCTAGGACTTGTGGTGCAGCCACGTCACGACCACTAAGTCAGGGGAGTAGATAGTTTTGCTCCCCTGGATTCTCCCTCTCTTTCCATTTGCCACGTAAACTCTAATTAAATTTCACTTATCTTTTTTCATATAGCAGAAGTTAATAGAGCAGGCTTATTAAATCAGGGTTTTTTTTCTCAGCCAGCTGTAGTCTCACTGGAGCCTGACTCTGCTGCACACACCACTGTCCTGCATTTTCACACTCCTTTGTACATTTTTAACTCTGTGCTAATTGTACTGTATTCAAACGGCTGTAAATCACCTGCAGGAAAGCAGTCATTTATGGTGTGATGTGACGGACTGAGAGAGGAACTTAAGTACCCGACCCTCCTGTTGCAGGAGGAAGTGTTTCTTCTTCTTTTGTTCGTCAATCAGGATCACTTAGCAGAGCGTCATTTGGACATGACGGGGTTAATCTGCTGAGATATGAACCCGGATAATTCCTCCACATACTTTATAAAAACGGATTAGCAACAGAACTTCAGTTTTTTCTTCGAGAAGTTACGAGTACAAACATATCGTACGCAGTGGCTGAGCCGTCATCACGGTGGATTTCACTGTGCTTTATATTCCAGTGGGACGTGAGGGACTCAGTGATTAAGGATTTAACAGAATCAGTTTTCACTTCTTATTATCAGAGTGTGTCAAATTCTAATGTGGTAAAATACTAATCTTCAAAGTCATTAAAACAGTTTGGGGTGCGATTGGTTTTGACTTCAGAAGATGAAGGATCTCCTTTAAAATAAACCAGAATAAATTGAGTGTTTTTGAGACACCAGGCATGTAAATCACGAAACAATGTGGGTAAAACACAGATATAAAATTTAAAATAAATATTAGAGTTCAGCTACTTGGTCTTTAGAGTGATAAATTAAATAACATTTTAATCGTACGCATTTTAGCAGCTGCTTTTAAGATTTTTTTTTTCATTGTTGTAACTTTGGCTCCAAGTGTTAATACTAATATTCAATTTCTTTAGAAAAAAGTAAATATAAAATTGTGTTGTTGCTTTTATATATTGTATTCGTTGTTGCCTTTTTTCTGCTGCCAAACTCTATTCAACTCAAGTGCAAGACCTCATATTGGAAACATTATCTTCATGAACAGTAGCTACAGGAGACTTCTGTAAACATTTTATGTTTATAGTCATTTTTTTATACATTCTTTTACTATTTTTCCTTTTTTATACAACAGTTTTTTCTTTGTCCTGTCAAATAGGTAAAAGTTTTTAGCTTTAGAAGTCAAGACTCTTACAGTCGTTACACTGACAATTAAGGAATCTTGGAGGTTGGTCTTTTATAGGACAGTCCTGGCAAATCCTAGAAAACCTTTCCAGTATTGAATGTCTGTTAAATGTTGTCTGTGTTCCTCCTCCTCTGTGTAGATCCTGGTCCACGTTGGCTTCCTAACCGAGGAGTCTGGAGATGTTTTCAGCCCCAAGGTTCTGAAGGGGGGTCCGCTTGGAGAGATGGTGCAGTGGGCAGACATTCTAACGGCTCTCCACGTTCTGGGACATAACCTGAAGATCTCCATGTCTGTGAAGGAGCTGCAGGGGTGAGTCAGCGACATCGTGGCTCGGTGGTTTGTTTGCGTTTAACGAAAGGAAAATAAAAATCACTGTACAACTGAGAATAGATAAAAATATTTGTTTGCAAGGCTGCACAAGTAATTTGACAAATGTGTTTGGAGGATATGATTGATGTCGTGAAAACAACTCGAGCAGAGAAAAGGAGTTGTTCAGAAAAACATGTTTTAATGATGAATGCTGTCAGTAAATACTCAGGATTGTACTGAGGCAGCTACAAAAGTCCCAGTGACATCTGTCCCCAGGACACCAGAGACCTGTCCCCATCCCTCAATTATCACTGTTTTTACATCCTGTGTCTTCCATTAACAGAGATCAGCGGGCATCGTGCTGTAATCACACCCCATTTCCAGCTCATTTAAGGCTTAAGCGCAGGAGCGTCGAGGGCCTGTTGACATATTTGTTGCTGTATTGATCCGATATTGACTCACTCAGCATCTCGTTGTCGGAGTGACTGCGTCGCTGTCGTTTTATTCCCCGCGTCAGCACGCTTACATGTTTCTGCTGACGGATACACTGGCGGAGCCAACACACACACACACACCGACACACACGCACACACAGAGATGTAAATCTGTCCTGTTGGGAGCGATCCCTCCGGCTGCCTCTATCCAGGCCTTGCAATATCTACCTCAGGACTGCCACTGAATAAATCACGCAGCGTGTCAAACCCCTGAAGATGGATGGGCCGATGGTTGGAGAGTTAAATTATGAATAGGTGTGAGTGTGAACAGTCAGCTGAATCACAGCGAGGATCGGAAACATCTTTGTTCAGCCTTGATTGTGCCAATAGTCTTTGTCTTTCTGCCATCACTGATCACTGCCCTGACGCTTCTGTAGGGTGTACATCAATATAATGACGTCTGCACAGACCCTCTGCTGTGGTCTGCCTTTTAGACAGAGTCTTGTCTGCTGCTACAAATCATAGAAGAAGAACAGTTTTTCATTCCCGGCCGGTGGCAGGTATTTTATGGACGTATAAAACTCCCTGTAGGAACCAGAGGAGACTGGAAAAAAACTTGGAGGAACTTTATATTAAATGAAGTATTTTGGAGATCGCTGACCTCCACGGCAGTCAGGTTTAAAAATAATTGTGATCTTATTTGTCCTATTTTCTCTTTATTTAATTTTTTTCTGATCAGCTGTGCTTTCTAATCATTGACAATCTCTTGAAGACATTAAATGTGTATGAAAGAGAAAAAGGTTTACCTGGGGACGTGATGAATGAAAAGCAGCCCTAAGATTTTAGTCATTTTCTGACCAGAAAGCAAATTTATATATAGGTTTCGTGAGAGAAAATATGTGAATGTATGGCTGTCGTGGCACCTGTACCTGGAGGAATGGTGTTTGTAACCTGCGACACAGAGAAGGTCCTGGACAATTATAAAGATAGGCGGTTTTTAATAGCATAAAATTGGATCCAAATTTAGTCCAATGTTCATCATTTTCATAACCATTTCCCTCTGGGTGTTTTTTTTTCTTTACCTTTTTTGTGACAGCTCCAACGTGGTCTAGTTCTGTTGACACAATGGATCTCTCTGTCTCTCTCTCTCTCTATCGACCACCCACCCCTCTCACCCCTCTCACCCCCACTGAGGTTAGTTGCCTCAGGTCCATGAACCACCACCTCCATAACTCCACAGTGGTGTCTGTATGCACTGCTGTTTGTGCACATACTCTGTGAAACAATTTTATCCTTATGGCTATGATTGAACATTTCATTGGCTGAGGGGGCGGGGGGAGGGGGGGGGCAGAGAGAAGAGCTGTAATTGGCCACTGAGGGGCTGCTTCCAACCTGGATATACACAAAGAAGCCACTGTTTTCACTATAACAGAAAAACACATTATACCTTTCGCTTTTTCAGCATTAATGCTTTTTTTTTTTAATCCAAATATGGAGATCGTAGTTTGATGCCTTTGGTGTTTTCAGGTGTTTTCTCTTTCAAAATGTTCTCCGACTTATTTCAGACTAAAAGCAGAAGTTTCACTTACACTCTCTCACACACGGTGACTTAAAAAGAAAATCAAAAAAAATATTTTCACACACCTTGTGGCGTCTGTGTTTGCTGCTACAGTACATTACCTCAGCAGGCAGCCTGTAATCTCTCAATGCAAGAGATTTGCCTTTTGAAGAGACATCACAGTCCGCCTACTGTAACACTTATCTCCTCCACAAAACACACGGCCACGAAGAGACGAGAGGAAACAAGTGCAGACAATAGGAAATGATTCTGAAAAGTGGCACTTAGATGTTGCTTTTCAGTTGCAGCAGGTGCTGTGATCAGGCCACAGTCTGTTAGACGGGTCAGAGACCAAAAAGAGATGCTCGAATTTTGTTTTTGTTTTTTTTACTTCATCTCATTGGACCCTTATGGCCAGATTATTCGACATAAATAAGTCAGACGTCTTGAGTGCCGTAGCTGAGATACCTCTTGTTATTAGTTTAATTTAAAACTGAAATGAAAAAGATAACCGTAGGTAAAAAGCCGAGCACAGTTGATGGTAAAGGCCGTGGAAGATTGGGTGGGAACATTGTTTCCAGGGAAGACTGTCAGCCTGTGTCTTAGTTAGAGAGAGAAAGAGAGAGAGAGAGAGAGATGGAGGGGGCGTGCAATTCCTCACTAGCGGCTTCGTCTCCTTCTGCTTCTTACATTTTTCATTTTTCCTCACAATACCTTAAACGTTGCACTCACACGGACACAAAGAACGGTCTTTGATAGTTCTTCATGAACAGATGAACTGTACAAAGAGACAGAATGGTTAGAGTTGGTTTCCTCTGTAGACGACCTTGTTTCTTAACAAACTGTAAAAGTGAGATTTGAAAGGCATTGATTTAATTTAGTCTTTTCTATTTCGATTTTTTGTTTTGGTTAGAATAATCTTTTCACTCTTATGCAAGAATTTATTTTCTTGATATTCTTTTCGTATTTCTGTCAATTCTGTGATTTAATGACAACTTAAGGTTGCTGGAATTGTACTGCAATCATAAATACTGTGCCTTAGTTAATCTACTGTAACTCTAACAGCAGGGGCTAAAACCCATATCTGTCCAGATATTTCTAGAAAAAAACAAAGACCGGTCACCAGTTGAAGGCTCGCCTCGAGTCCTATAAAAACAAAGGAAACCAAAATGAGGTTGACAGACCAGTTGAGAGAAGGGATGTGTCAGTTTGAGTGTGTGTGTGAGTGTGTGTGTTTGTGTGTGGGTGTTTCCTCATCCCAGATCTTTGCTCAGTGGGCTTTTTAATCTCCTCTTACCGGGGAATGGGAGCAGAGGAGGTGGAGAGTTCCAGCACTGAATAGGCTTTAAAGCCTGGGGACACACGGAGCCGAGCTCCAGTAAAACTGACACTTTCACATTCATCATCCTCCTTCCCCTCACCGTGTTTTATTTCTCGGGAGAAGTTGCCTCAGGCAGACGGAGGATGAAATAAAGAAAACGGAAGTGGCAACAAAAGAAAGAGGGAAAAAAAAAGAGTATGTCTGCCTTTACACAACATAATTGTGGACGGCTTCATAACATCTGTTTCTCTTTTTTAAAATGGGCTGAAGTGTGTGGCCAGAAACATGAAGTGACAAATGGAACCATTTGTTATAGATTTCATTAAAAAACACAAACAAACAAACAAACCTCCAGAGCCACATGGGGCACTGTTCTTAGAAGAAGGGGCTATAATTTTGTGCAAAAGTGAAGATTAATCTAATTTCAAGTCAAGTGAAGTTTTAAGCTGTCTTGCTAACAGCAAAATAACACGATGACTCTGCCCTCTTGTGTGCAACCTTTAGGTACTGTTGAGCGAGTGATGTTGACTTCAGGTACTGGTGAGTTTTTCTAGTTGGAGAGTTAGATTAGTGTTGGAAATTATCCATGCGTCCATGTCCAAATTTGCGTTGCATATTTTTTTTGTTTTGTTTTTTTCTACGGTACAACAGATTAAACAGCAATAATTCGACCACAGTTTGTAGTTTGTAGTAATACTGCAGTACAACCTCTTTCACTGCACTGCTGCCATCACTTAAATGGTCAAAATTGCTTGCGTTTTTGCAGTTCTTAGTAAATTTTATTTCCTGGTAAAATGATGAAAATGGCTCCTTTGGTGTCCATGGTTGCAGAATACCTGGTATGTCTTTTGGTCACCTGGTACATGCAGCGTATTACGTTACTGATGTATATGCGTATGATGTGTGTGTGACGCCATAAAGTAGCTGTTCTTAGTAGAAGGAGTTAGTGTCTGTAGCCAGGTGTGAGGACTGATGTTTATTTATGGCTGCAGACAAATGGAGGAGTTAACAGACCATGAACCACATAAAGGTTCTTAACTGGTCCTGGCTCCGCTGGTGCCTGACTACGGCTGATAAATAATTGTGCAGCAGCTCCAGAGTAAGTGCATTGTTATCACTTTCGATGATGGGGAGAATTTAAATAAAATATGAGCCGTCCCATCTATATTTCAATAGAACAAAGTATATTTCTTGTATATTTCTTTATTTCTCATTATGAATATGTCTGCTATATTCCTGACGAATGCCGTCGTAAAGTTTGTCTTTGTCATCCTATTAGTTTATTTCACTTTATCAGGAAACAGTCATAAAGCTAAAGGCGTTTGAAGCACAGGAACCGATTCGTCAGATCTGTGGAAGGCACGGCTAAAACCAGGGTCAGAAACCTCTTATTATCCACATTTTCTTGTAGCCCAGGCTTGACAGCACTTGTTAGTAATATCACAGCCCTGTTATCTCTCTGAAAAAAAAGGGAGCAGCTTCACTGAGCCGAGTAGAGAGTAATTGGGTTTGGTGTCAAGCTCACCGAGGAGACTCGGAGTTGTTGAGAGCCAACGTGAGGACCCCAAACATTCTGCTCAATATCGCTGCCACTCCTGGCTCTGCTGGAGGAGCAGCGTGCTGCAGCTGATGTCTGTGAACCCGATATTCCTGTGCTGTCGTTAAGGAAAAATGGGGTCATTTTGGGGCAGTCAGCCCTGAAATTAGGTCGAGTGAAGAAAGGTGTTTCTCTCGCCAGATCTAAATAGATGCTGCTTTCCTCTCGATTTTAATGTTTTTTTTTCTCTTTTTCTACTTTTTCTTCTTCTCTCGTTTTACTGATCCTCCGGTGATGCACACATCACTCCATTTGCTTTTCATTTCAGAACTGTCCTGAGCATCGAATTTCAGATATGAAGTGAAGCTGAAAAAAAAAAAAACATCAGTTCTTTCAGCAGACGTCTGCAGCATCACCGCTGACAGACGCTGCTTCAAAACCACTTTACGGCTCTTTCAACAGCAAATCGACGTTGTGTTTCTGCTCCATTTGTCTGACAATAGATATGAGCAGAAGTTTGACGCCGTGTGACTGGAACACACTCCTCGACAAGGACAAAAACATTCACTTCTGCTTCTGTGTCGCTGTGTTTCTACAGCAGCAGTGACATGAAGAATCTCAGTAACAAATGAGTGAAACCCATTGAACGAATTGTCTACCAGTAAAACTGTAAAACATGTCCAGTAGTAATTATTCCACACAGATCAAAGTTAACTGTGTTTTACAATCAAAGGATATGAATTTTGAAAAAAAAAGGCTTTTTGAAGCCTTGAATTCTAGTGTCGATCAATTTCAATGCAGACTGTTGAACAGAAGTGTTAGAAGTCAGACGAGTTCATATTTAATTTAGGTTCCATGTTAAAGACTTTTCTTGCTCCAATGCATTTTTAATAATATTTATGATGAACTTACTCGCATTTGTACTTGCATTTTGCGCTCATGTCTGCCCCCTCTGGTGAAGAGAGATACTTTTTTTCACTCAAGCTTCATGTACTTAAGAAAGGTGAGACAAAGTTCTTCAGAGATAGATTCATAAAAGATTAAAGTAGAGGGAGAGTTTGAATAATTAACTTGAATGCAATGATTGTGTTGACAGAGTGTGTCTTTGTGTTGTGGATGGTGAACAGGCTGAGGCTGAGGGTGAGGCTGTGTTTGTACAGTTGTTGCCTCACCCACCGTCTCTCCTCCGTATTGAAGCATAAAAGGTCAAATCCATGACTCATGGCCTTAAAAAAATCATCTGAAATTATTCAACGCCTTTGGATGAGATTTTTGTTGACTTTTTTTTTTACTTTGGTAAGGCTTTGC